AAGCCAGCCTAGAGCTCCAGGAAGGAATCATGTTTGATAATGAACTTTACACTTTGCAAATTCTTCAGTCAAGGACTAAATGAAAGCAACTCAAGAGCCCAGTGGGGTTTACTATAGCCTATTTGATCTCATAGAGCTACAGTTCATTCCAGTATAGGCCAAGGGACAATGGAGTTCAAAAAGTGGGGAGGTGGTCTCTTTATAGGGACACACATCTGAGAACACAGACACAGTTTAGCTGAATGCAAATCAGATAAGCTCTGCGCGAAAGTATTGGGCACATTATTACCAAAGCAGTGCACTCAGTAAAAATAAACTGTATCAAATTGGAAGGAGAGGTTTCTGGCCTTTCCTTGCCAATATCTAAGGAGACAAGTGAGTTTCGTGAAGGACTCTTAGGACACATAAGAATATGACATGTCTTAAACATACTAACTTTGCCCACGACTCCCTTCTAGTGATTGGACCAATGAAGATAAACGAACCAGACCGGTGTTGGAAAGAGCTGGTGGAAAGTAATAAAGCAGAATTTATGGATTAAAAAGTCCTAATATAGAGAATTAAAGTAACACTGAGAAACACTTTTTGTGGGTTATCAAAGGGCATCACAGTAATAATTTGTCTGCTGAAATATACTTTTTAATTTTTATTCCTTTGAATGAAATTGCCTTTTTTTGTCTTGGTACATTGTCCGCTTAAAAGTTAGAGGAGTAGTACCACCTCAATTGGCTTTTCAGTGGTAAATATTTTCCAGGTTTCTGGATAAAGGGATGTGACTCAAGCATGAGAAATATGAAATTCCCATTAAAGTTTCCTGGCCATCTCGGAAATCTGAACTCCACGTAAAGCTTGAGAGTTGCATTAGATCACATCTAAAACCACTTCCAATAATGCAACTTTTGCATAACAAGAATCTCAAGTCTTAAAGAACTTCCTTTTATGTCCATTTCAACAACCCCTCCCCCAGAAAAGAAAAATTGGCAGCATATCCAGAGGTCAAGAGAAAATTTAAGTAGAGAGCGGCCCAAACCATGTTTAGTGACAGACATGTGATTCTCACACCCTCCTGGAAGCAGTCCTCTGTCATGTGAGGAAGAGCTTGAGCCACCATGCCTGACCTTCCCTAAATACTCCTCTCTTTGATTAAAAAAACTTTTTTTTTTTTTGGTTAAACAAACAACACATGAATATGTTCTCAGAGAACAGTCAATCTACACAAAAGCATATGGAATAAAAAATACAGAGACACAATGTATTTATACATACATGGGTCATAAGCATTTACATATGATTCTGTTATTCTATGGCAACTTCTTTGCACTTGGCTCTTCAAAAAAAAAGATTTTATTTATTTGAGAAAGAGAGCAGAGCTAGAGAGAGAGCACGATTGGTGGGGTAGGGCAGAGGGAGAGGGAGAAACAGACTCTCTTCTGAGCAGGGAGTTTAGGGCTGGATCCCAGGACCCTGGGATTATGACTTAAGGTGAAGGCTGATGCTTAACCTACTGAGCCACCCAGGTGCCGGCACCCCTCACTTGGGTCTTAAAGAACGTTCTAATTTAGTTTTAGTAGATAAAGCTCTGGCTCTTTCTTTATAATAACGGAAGGGTCTGAATTTTATTTATTCTGTCTTTTGTTGATAGTATTTGCTACTATAAAAGAGAATACCCTTTTTAAATATATTTTACTGACTATGAGTAAATATTTCTGTGGGGCAGATTCCTAGAAGTAGATTGCAAGGCCAAAGATTAGGCTTATTTTAAATTTTGGTAAATATTGTCTAATTTACATATATTTTGGTCATATGCATTTCTTTTGTAAATGGTCCTTTGTATCCTTTGTCCACCTTCTATTTGGTTCTTTGTGCTTTGCGTATTCATATGTAGTCACTCATTGTATATTGCAAATACCTTATATATGTTGTAAATATTTCCCCAGTCCGTAGTTTATTGTATAACTTAGTTTTTACTGTTGTCCCACAGGAGGATTTTTGTTTTTATGAGGTTGAAGTTACAAATACTTTCTTATATGATTTATGATTTTTGTGTATCACTTAGGAAAGCTTTCCCAATTCCCAGAGTTATAAAAATTTTTTCTACATTTTCTTCAAATACTTTAATAATTTTTTAACATTTATTCTTAATAATCTCTCCAAAATATATTTTTGCTTATGATGTGAGCTGAGTTCAATTTTTCCCCCAAAAGGATAGCCAACCATCATAATGCAATTCAGCGAGAAGTCTGAACACCTTTACTGATTAGAGACAACATTTTTACTATAAACTACATTCCTGTATAATCCTGGGCTTCCATTCTATTTTTTTCTATTAATGTGTTTGTCTATTCCTGTGCCAAAATACCCTGTTTAAATCTCCTTACATTATGTTCTGATTACTAGTAGGTCAAATCCCATCATTCTCTTCTTTAAAAATTGGAGTTACTAATAAGCATTGCTGTTCTTTCTTCCATATGTATTTGAAAGCCAGCTTGTCAACATCTTGACATTGTTGAGTCTTCCCATTGAGAAATATGGAATAGCACTTTATTTATGTAGGTTTTTATACCCTATTCATAAAAGTCTGGCAAATTTCCTATTTATTCTAAATATAAAATGAGTTTTATTGCTATTATGAATGAAATCCTACTTATCCTTATGTTTTCTAATTGATTATTGCTAATATCAAGAAAGCCAATGATTTTTGCATACTGACTTTTATATCTGATCACCTGACTATATTCTTAAAGTACCCTCTTAAATTCTAACAGTTTTTTATTTTTGTTTTTTTTATCAGCCCCTGATTTTCTTGGTAGAAAATCTTATATATTTTTCAAATTACTTATTGGGGTTTTAGTAAAACTTAAAACCCAAGTTTTTTTAAGATCAACCAATCAACAGTTAAGCTTTGAAAGTTTTATAGACTGAATGTCTGTATTTCCCCCAAATTCATATGTTGAAGCCCTAACCAACAATGGATGAGATGATATTTGGAGATGCGGCCTTAGGAAAGTAATTAGGGTTAAATGAGGTGGTGAGGGTGGGCTCTCATAATAAGATTGGTGGTCTTACAGGAAGAGAAAGAGAGAGATCTCTTTCCCAGCACACATACCAAGGAAAGGCCATGTGAGATCACAACAAGAAGGTAGCTATATGCACGCCAGGAAAAGAGGTGTCATCAGAACCCAACCAAGCTGGCGCCCTGATCTCACACTTCCAGCCTTCAGAACTAAACTTTAGAAAATAAACTTCTGTTGTTTAAGCCACTAAGTCCGTAGTATTTTTTATTAGCAGCCCATGCTAAGACAGAACTTAACATTATGCTAGGCATGGTGGGGATATTTCTGGGATCCCAATGAGAAAACATGCCAACTCTTGTTTGTGTACTTACAGGTTCAATACCTTGACATTATGGTTTGCTTGCTTCGGACTTTTTGGTATAGGTCAAGTACTATATTCTTTTCCTAGTAAGTTTATCCTACTCCTCCCACACATACACAAAAAGAGTTTCAAATTTAATAGCTGTTTTCAATTTCTAATGCTTGTCAACAGTGAAACTTACATCAAGAATATATAAACTATAAAGGGAAGCCATCCCTAAAACTGAATAAATAAGGACAAGAGGAAATCATTTTCAGCTTCACTAGCACACAGGCTATTTCTATTCTTAGCCAGCCTGGGTCTTCCATAGAAGAACACCCCCTGGGTCAGGGTTTGCCTGACATATGGAAATGCTGCAGCAGACTTCCTCTGAGTAGCCCAGCCCTTCAGCTTGCAAGGCCACATTTCCTGTGGGAAGGAATTCCTGAGGCCAGAATCCTTGCTAACTTCCCTTCCCAAAACTGATTGCTTCATAAAAGGACACACTTTCTCTGGTTTTGTAGGTCCAAAAGAATATAGAAAAATTAAGATAAACAACTTTTGGGTGATCTTGTCCCTCCATTTTCTTTCTTATAAGCTATGAGCTTGTTTCCTTCAACTTAATTTGTATGTAGTAGATCCTTTTGGGTTTATAGATACAGATGGGAGAGATTCATGGATGAGATGTCATATTCTATTTTATTGGTTATGATGGATTGGTTTGCTCCCTGAGCCATCCCTGACTGACTGTGGCTTTCCAGAGCACTGTTTTGAGGAAAGGACTGAGGCTGCTTCTGGCCATGATCAATGAATAATGTCTGCCATGAGCATGGGAGAGAAAGTGGGGGATGCCTGCCAAGCATTTCCCATCTTTGAATATGATTGGTTTTTTGTTTCTGAGCTTAGTTATATAACCTTGGAAGTTTTATTCATTTGTAGCTATTGTACACATAAAAGGAAAAATATTGTTTTTTTTTTAACTTAAATCAACAAAAAGCCCAAACAGTTAAGGGCTCTTAAATCTAGGAAGCCTTTATGCTAAACACTGAGTGTATTAGTGTATAACCTAAGCAAAGCCTGTGTCAAAATAATACATTCCATAAACATATTATTACATAGTTGTGATTTTCCTCATTATGATTAATGGTACTAGTATGGTGGTACTAGTACCAGTAAGTTTCAAAATCCAACTTGGTATAATACTGGGTGGCATATAAGATTATCAATGAAATACGAGCCAGATATTTTCAGATAAAAATAGAGTACTTCATTTTCACAACTGAAACATGGCCCGAGGCTAAGAGCTAAGGAAAGAATATGAATGTTGTTGGTTTTTACCAAAGACGAGTTTTATGTTTTGTGTAATTGAGTGAGTAATACAACCCAAAAGTTAGACTTTGCAAAATATTTCAGAAACTTTCAAGAAAATAGTGATGCAAAAAAAAAAAAAGGAATGCACGGTTCTAGGCATTGGAGGTTCACAAGTCTGTCTTTCAGAGTGGAATTATCTGTAAAGTATGGTAGTGACAACAGTTTAAAAAGTTAAAAAAAGTGTTTAGCTATGGGTTGGAATATTATATCATAAGAACTCAAATCACTATTTTTCCATTTCCATATATTTCTAAGATTTTATTTTTTTTTTACAGGCAAGGAATCATTCCTTCTAACTACCCACTACGGTGACTCAACTTGTCTATTATATTAGAAATATTGTATAAGAAAAGAGAGAAGGGGAATTCACCTAGAAAATTAGCTAACAATCATCATACTAATCCATTTCCATGAACCATTATGACACATCTTAAGATAGCCCCGCAGAAATCACACAGAAATTTGGGCTACAAAACAAATATCTATATTGATACTATATTTTTTATTAATCTTCCAGTTTTTTAAACTATTTTAAACAGCCATCTGTAATATGTTTCCATGAAATTTAATGGTACTTCCTTCTAGTGATGATATGCCTATCACTGTTTCCCACTAAATTCCTAACAACACGACCTTTGTCAGCAAACTTGGGTAAAAAATGAGTGTTTAGACTATGTGCTTACCATTAGCCAATAGCTTCTTGATGTTCACACCTCTAAGGACTGAACCCATTGGCCCTAAAGAGAGATTTCTGTTCAGAATAACAAATCGATTTTTAAAATTATGAAAAATAATTTTTCCCAAATCTAGTCCAACAACATTTATAAAAGGTTGAAAGCCTTGTCATATCTCATCAGAATGGTAATATGCTTAGTCATACCTACTTTTTTAAACTATGTTCCTGAAGTATACCGATATTCAGAAATATAAAAAATATGTTGAAGTTATTATAGTGATGCAATACCATGAATTTACAATTTTGCTATTTATTCATTGGAGACAATGTCTTTGAAGTGACTAGAAGATCAGTGTTTCTTTTAACCTATGCTGCATTTGACCCTAACACTAACAAAACCACATGAAGATATAAAGAAATTCCTTGATTTTGCTACAATTTTATTTTAAAAATTACCACTCCAGAATAATCTGCTGCAAAATATATGGTCTGTGTAGGAAAGCTATGACAGCTCTACTATTATATACAAGACCCTAAAAACCAAATAAACATATATTCGGGCAGCTCTTCATCACTGCAGTGTAGCATGCTGATTGTTTATGGCACTTCCCTCCAGGCCCTAGCCTTGAATCCCAGCTTGACAACTTTCTAGCTATGTGACCCAGTACAAGTTACTTAAACATCTCTGTTCTGAATTTCCCCATACATAAAATGAGGGTACTAACAGTGCCCATTCAGAAGGTGGTATGATAATTAAATGAATAAATACATGTAAAGCACTTAAAATAGTTTCAAGCACAAAATAAATATCATTTAAAATAAAAAAATGATGCCAGAAGTTTTCAGGAATAGGTAGTTGTATTTAGGAGCATGAATTAACAATAAAGCAATAGAATCTATTTTCAAAAATTGGAAAAGATATAATCAGGGTGTGGTTTGGACAATTCCCAGTCTTTTGGTTCACCTGGTCTTTTTGTAGTAATGTCTTGCATGATGTGTCAGACTCTGAAACAGATTTCAATGCCTCTTCATTTTCCACAGGATTGATTTTATGAGAGTTTACTAAGAAGCCAGATGACAAATGGACTGTTACCAAAGTTTTTTGTTTTTGTTTTTGTTTTTTTACCACCATAATGATTTTTTAAATAAAGTATAAAATGTATGGGCTTCACAATTTTTTATCAGAAGAATGGTTTCATTTCATAGACAATGTATTCCATAATTATCCTTTGGTAATACATTGAGTCTGGCAAAAAGCTAGTCACTCATTCTGCAAAAATTGTGAACAATTGGGAAGTTACCTGAATTAAATGGCATCATTTATGAAAGTTTAGTTGTTATTACCTGATTAACAACTGCATTAAGAATGAAGCTTTGAGGCAAAATAATCCAGCTTAAAGGCCAAGTATCAACACTATTAGATACATACATGATCACAGCCTACAGTACAAGATAGTATCTATAAAATTTAAAGTTGAAAGAGACCTTAGAATCCATATAATCTAACCTCCTAGATTTTATAATTGAGTAATCTGGAATTCCCACTAATGAGCATACATTAACTATGGGAATCAGCTATGAAGTTACAGAATCCCAACCAAAAACCAGAGCCCTAAACTTTAGGTTCAGTACTTTTTTTTTTTCCTTTTAATGTATTCCAAACCACCTCCTTGTTGCAAGGATCAACATTCTTTTCTCTGAATTAACATTGCCTGGGGGTGCCTGGGTGGCTCAGTTGGTTAAGCGACTGCCTTCAGCTCAGGTCATGATCCTGGAGTCCCTGGATCGAGTCCCTGGATCGAGTCCCTGGATCGAGTCCCGCATCAGACTCCCTGCTGAGCAGGGAGTCTGCTTCTCCCTCTGACCCTCCCCCATCTCATGTGCTCTCTCTCTCTCAAATAAATAAATAAAATCTTAAAAAAAAAAAAATTGCCTGGTGATTAAGTTGAATATGGGTTTCATTTTATAGATAGTAGGTGAAAAATACTAGGTTGCCTTTGATTAAATGCTAACCATCTTTCTTGGCTCATTGCCTGTATGTATTTTTCAAGTGATTTATTGTACAGAGATTCTCAATGATTTGTGTCAGCCACAATGCAAAATGAAAAGGGACTCAGCTGCAAAATTAGGGACACCATTAGTAACAATGTTAAAAATTTCCCTGATAATAACTTAGCAAAATAGAAATGGGAATGGGGAATTTTTTAAATTTATTTTATTAGAATTTTGCCTTTAACCTTTTCTTTTTACATCACTGCTTAAAAACCACATTGTCATCTTCCTCCCTTGAAAGAGACCCAAGAGATCATACCTTTGCTGTTGGCACTTACTAAAGTTGAGCATTTGAAAATAACTAGGTTGAACTTCAGCACTGTCAATTCTAACCTGAGCTTTAAATATCACATCACTGCAGGCAAATGGTATACATTTATGAGGAAGAAACTGGTTCCTATATTTATCTTACTAATGTGATTTTTATTGACAAGTAATGTACTCAGTGTCTCACAGTCATTTTTTCCAAGGAACTGCCTTGTGAGACAGGGATATTTGGTGCTTGATTGAAGGTCGCTCCTTGAAGATAATCCAAACTGCATTGGCATTTTATTGAATCCTGCAAATAGCATTATATTCTGCTTCAATGCAGAGACATATCAAAAGCTAGGATGCTTTTCTCTAGGAATTTCTAATGATGCTGAAAAGTTTAAAACTGTCTTTCACTGTGACAGAGCAATACTAATGAGAAGAGTTTGAGCATTGGCAACAGTTGCAGTATGTCAAGTTATTCAAGGGATCACATTAATATTTCCCTTTTGTTTTATAATCAGTAGTACTGGAATTGAATAGCTCTTTCCCATTTCATTATCTGGTGAACTGCCTTTCTTTCCTTGCCATCTCAAAAATCCCCTCTTCCTGCAGTCTTCCCAAACTCCCTCAGGCAATTAGTAGTTCCCTTCTCTCTGAACCAAAAGCACATTGAACACCGCTTTAACACCATTTGTCGCACTGTCACTATTATTTCTTTCACATCTGTCCTCACTGGAGTACAGTAATGGGGTCATCTTTTTATCTGCTGTGCCCCTTGCACAGGGAAGTATCAAGATCTGTCTTAAACTGTTGGTCCAGTACCTTTATGACATTCTTTCAAATTAAGAAACTTAATACAGGAGTTACAATAATAAATAAAATTATGTATTAAGTAAAGGAGGAGTAACCGTCTGTGCCCATAAGACCAAAACATGTAAGCACTATGAACACAGATATACACTGAATTAGGTTCACCATCCCTCATCTGAAACTCTTGAAGATAGCTGTATTTCAAAATTCAGAACTTTTAGTGAATTTTAGAATGTGACAGTCTGTAAATGGCACATTGTTTAATATTCCCATCATGGTCTGGGTTAGCATCCCCCCAAATACCACATTAATATTTCTATAGCATAAGTATGAATATTCACCTTCAAGAAGAATAAAGACAATAAAAGTGGCCTCATCAATTCAGGTTAGGTTTCACCACCAAATGAGTTTGCCACAAACTTATGAAAAATTTTTTTGGTTTTCAGAGTTCTCTGGATTTTGGAATTGTGAATAAGGGATTATGAACATGCATTAACAAAATCCATTTGGTGCTTCATCAAGTCTGCCTCTTTAAATACACTCAAAACTGAATTTGGAACAAAACATTATTCTTTCCTACAAAAACAGAGTAACAGAATAAAATATTCTTCATGTCTGTCACTGAATTTTAGTCTATTTCCAAAATCTTTATTCCTATAAAAATGTAAATTGATCTGCATTGGTTTATCCCATCAGTAAGTTATATTACTTGGAAGGATATAAACAGGCAAAAACAACCAAATTATTGAAAAGCTGGTATAATGATCTTATTAAATGAAATGGAATAATAAGAGGGCTTTCTCACTGTAATCATTTAGAAAATTTCAATTAACTCATAAGGCAAAAAATATAAATTAGCAGATGTATATTGTGATAGGATTATTGTTTCTCTTTTAGTACTTGTACTTAAACTTTTTTTTTACAGTCAATCTAGTTTTTAAATGTAGGTTTTACTATTACTATTCAGATATGTCAGGCTGACAGATCAGGAGACAACTGCCACTGAAAAGATAGTTTGTTATACTCACAGTTCCCAAGAGGAGGGGGCATGCTACACCATGTGGGGCCACACAGGAAAGCCTCAGTCTCAGTCAGGCAGAGGGAGCAAAGAGAAAACATGGAAAGAGCCTTCACTGCAGTTTCTGTGGGAAAGAACAGGCAAGGCAGGTTTAGGATTGGCTAGTTTGAATAATTTCAGCAGCCTCTGGGGCATAGGGACTATCCCACATCTGGAACAAAATCCTGAAGTGATTAGAGCAGGTGGATAGTGGCCCAGAGTGTGAGAGGCCAATAAAGGGGGTGGCTGGTTTACAGGCTCTGGGTTGGTTGGTTGGCATATGAAGGTACCCTCCAGTGTGAGCTGATTGCTATCTCAAGGAATTACTTAGCTCTTGAGAGGGCAGTCCCTCCACCATCATCAATGGATCAAATGCAGAAACTAAAAAATATTATACCATCTACAAATGCAAGCAATTATATAAATTTAAACCAGTAATGAATTCCACGAATTATTGCATTACTCTATTAATTTTGTTTTATTATAGTCTTTTTCCCCTTCATTGTAAGAACACATAACATATTCAAATTATTACTTTTTAACCTTTTTTTCATTTTTAGTTTAAAAGCTGAATCATGTTCAGAGAGTGATGGGCTTTGGTATATAGTACAACCTCAAGGAACATTAATTCTCTTGTCTTGCCACACGTCCTCTCCTTTTCTCTTTTTTCACTCATTTACTAATATTTATTGAGAACTCACTGTGTACTATGCTAGACACCAGGATTGCACCTTGCAGCCTTCACAGAGGGGACTATCTCACAGGGGCTGCAGATATTCAATACATAACCACACACAGAATTAACTATTTGGCATCCTGAGAGGCCAGAAGATACTGCAAGGAGCATGACGCCCTCATTAGTTTGAATTCAAGAGCACATCCTGTAAATAGTTTTGAATATCATTTAATAAATTTGAATTATTTACTTATATGCATTTTGCAAAGTTTGGACTTGAAATCTTCTGAAGTTGGCAAGCAATAGAAATTTCTTTTAAAATTTTTATGGGACATATGAAAAATATACCACATGAAGCAACTTATAAATAAGATATAAAGTAGAATTCTGAATTGTGAGCTTTCATTATTCCCTTGAAACTGTTCCATTCTGTTGTATTTATTGGGTACCTGCTATATGCCCAGAAATCTTTGCTGGGAAGTTCCAGGTAATGCAAAACCATAAAGTGTGATTAGTTCATTGTTCTGAGTCCTGAGAGGCCATCAAGGGTATATAACACAAAGGAACAAGCACATTCAACAGCTTTAGTAAGAAACTGAAAGAAGGTGTTATTAGAGGGCGCCTGGGTGGCTCAGTCATTAAGTGTCTGCCTTCGGCTCAGGTCATGATCCCAGGGTCCGGGGATCGAGTCCCACATCAGGCTCCCTGCTAGCAGGAAGCCTGCTTCTCCCTCTCCCACTCCCCATGCTTGTGTTCCCTCTCTTGCTGTGTCTCTCTCTCTGTCAAATAAATAAATAAAATCTAAAAAAAAATGAAAGAAGGTGTTATTAGAAACTGAAACTCAGGGGCGCCTGGGTGGCTCAGTTGGTTAAGCGACTGTCTTCGGCTCAGGTCATGATCCTGGAGTCCCTGGATCGAGTCCCGCATCGGGCTCCCTGCTCGGCAGGGAGCCTGCTTCTCCCTCTGACCCTCCCCCCTCTCATGTGCTCTCTCTCTCTCATTCTCTCTGTCTCAAATAAATAAATAAAATCTTTAAAAAAAAAAAAAGAAAAGAAAAAAAGAAACTGAAACTCAGAACATTGAGGTGTACCCTCCCATCTCAGTCTAGTGAGGAATCTTGGATACATCTTTATGGGGAATTTTGTCATATTTGGAAGATATATATCAAAATATCTGAGAGAAAGAACTAATATTACAAAACCCTGTTTTTATTAAATTCTATTGTTGCAGTGATGTGCAACAGGTCATTTAATAGAGATCATGATATCAAAAAGTGAAGTACTATGAGTGTCTATTTGGAAAATGAATTTTAAAAAGAAAACAAAAAGGTTATCTACAAAAAATGAATGAAGATAGATTGGTTAAAAATAGTCCCCAATGATCTGGGATAATGTTTCATAGAAAGCCTTTATTTGGCCAGCATTTATGACAAGTCTATGGAGGCACTCATGGTGAATTAGTAACTCATATAGATCTAACACTGTTATTGTTGTTATAAAAGCTGTATCGCATAAGTTGCTTTTTTGAACTATATGCACTTGTGTGTAATTTTTATTAATCAGATATGTAAACAAAAGGATAAGTTAGATACTCTTTTAAGCATTCTCCTAGACCCAGGATTTTATGATATTGAAGAAATAACTATTTTACCACTCTGGAACAGAGATAATATGGTAAGAGCACATTATTAAGCTAAAGAAGGAAGGAAGCATGGCAGAGAGAGGGAGAAGGGAGGGGGAAGGCCCTGAAGGTGCTGCTGTTAATTTGCTTCCTATCCTTGATCCTGGGTTATCACATACTGGGAATGAGGAGGCTTAAGTCAAGGACAAAGGAAGCCTCCCTCCTCCTTCCGCTAGCAGGCACAAGGCTGAAGACAGCCCTGACCTTTTGACCACAGAATCAAAAAGATGTCTCTGCTACATCTATTTTGTGCCTGAAAGGTGGCTGTTAATTGTTAATCTTTCATTCATAATAGCCAAGGAGAACAATGTTTTGCATATAGTTTTATAATATCTCATCCAATATTGGGTTTTGAAATGATCACATTCAGAAATAGTTGAATCTGTTCAAAATATCACCTAATATTTTATTGAATGAAAGCTTAAAAAATAAAATTTCTCAAAAAAGTACAAAATCATTGAACTAGTCACACTTTATGGTTTTGCATTACCTGGAACTTCCCAGCAAAGATTTCTGGGCATGTAGCAGGTACCCAATAAATACAACAGAATGGAACAGTTTCAAGGGAATAATGAAAGCTCACAATTCAGAATTCTACTTTATATCTTATTCATAAGTTGCTTCATGTGGTATATTTTTCATATGTCCCATAAAAATTTTAAAAGAAATTTCTACTGCTTGCCAACTTCAGAAGATTTCAAGTCCAAACTTTGCAAAATGCATATAAGTAAATAATTCAAATTTATTAAATGATATTCAAAACTGTTTACAGGATGTGCTCTTGAATTCAAACTAATGAGGGCGTCATGCTCCTTGCAGTATCTTCTGGCCTCTCAGGATGCCAAATAGTTAATTCTGTGTGTGGTTATGTATTGAATATCTGCAGCCCCTGTGAGATAGTCCCCTCTGTGATTTTGTACTTTCCTGGGTAACTTGTTTGTTTTTTAAGCTTTCATCCAACAAAACATTATTGGGTAGTTGGAATAGATTCAACTATTTCTGAAGGTAGTCATTTCAAAACCTAATACCGAGTGAGATATTATAAAACCACGTTCAAGACAGTGGATCCTTGGCCATTATGAATGCAAGGTAATCAGCTTTCAGTTCTAGCAATAATGTTGAACTCTAAATCAGGTTGAAATCTTTTTTCACTTAAGATTTCTTGAGATTAGAGAGCTAATACCGTTTAAAAATCCAGATGCCTTTGCCCATATCTGGCCCTAAAAATCAGTCATAGTGGGTTTAAGCTTTCAGGGAATTCCTCCGCCCACCTACCTGAGCCAACCCCCATCGCTACCTTAAAAGCAGTCTGCAGGTTCAGTGTTTCCCAGAGCGTGATCTGTGAACCACCTGCATCAGAACCCACTAGGGTATTTATTACAGATGCTTATTTAGTAGCTGTAGTGAGATGAATAGTGCCCCCTAAAAATTCATATCCACCGAGAACCTCAGAATGTGACCTTATTTGGAAATAGGGTCTTTATAGATGTAATTAGTTAAGATGAGGTCATACTGGATGAGAGTGGGTCCTAAATCCAATGACTGCTGTCCTTATAAGAAGAGGAGATGCAGCTACTATCCAAAAAATGCCAAGGATGGCCAGGAGCCACCAGAAGCTGGCAAGAGGCAAGGAAGGATTCTTTCATAGAACCTTAAGAGTAAGCATGGCCCTGATGACGCCTTGATTTCAGACTTTTAGCCTTCAGACTGTGAGAGAACAACTTTCTATTGTTTTAAGCTACCCAGTTTGTGGTTGGTTGTTGTGGTATCCTTAGGAAAGTAAGACAGCGGCCTTACCCACAAGTGACTGAATTCTGAGGGTATAGCTCAGAACTTTTGAAAAGACTCTTGCTATTTCTGATGTTCATATAGGTGCTTACCAGAGTGGGGACATCATAAAGGGTGATGGCTGATTTTATATGTTAATTTGATTGGGCCACAGCGTGTTTAGATATTTGGTCTGACATTATTTTGGGTATTTCTGTGAGGGTGCTTTTGGATGAAATCAACATTTATATTGGTAGACTAACATAGATTGATCTCCCTAATGTGGGTGAGCCTCAACCAATCAGTTGAAGATCTGAATAAAATGAAAGGCTGACCCTCACCTGAATAGGAGAGAAATTTTTCAGCCTGACAGCCTTTGAACTGGGACACTGGGTGTTTTCCTCCTTTTGGACATGAATTGAAACATTGGCTCTTCTTGGGTCTCCAGATTGCTGACTCACCCTACAGATCTTGGGACTTGCCAGCCTCCATAATTGCATGAACCAATTCTTTATAATCAATTATATATTATATAATTGCATATATATAATATAAACACATATATATGCATATGTGCAATACACATGTATACAATACACATATATACAATATACATACATACAATACACATATATACAATATACATACATTTCATACACACACACACACACACACACACACACACTCATTGGTTCTGTTTCTCTGGATAACCTTGACTAATACAGCATCCTTACATGCTGTCATCCTGAGGTAGATGCTTTCCCAACATATGGGCCTGATTTCCACAAAAGCTGATCTTGCCACAGTTACTAACAACCAGAATGTGGCCAGGTCCCACTGTCACTTCTGAACCCCTCTCTTACTTGACCTCCCTGCTGAGAGTTCCCTCCTGGAACAAGCCCCTTGGTTCTCTGACTCCACACCCTCACCATGCTCCTTACACCTCTGGCTGTTATTACTCT